AGTTACTCTGACTTCCTCCCACAGTCCAAACACACATTGGAGACTATAAATTGCCCCTACGTGTCTGTATGTTGGCCTTGTGATGGCCCAGTGACCTGTCCAGTATGTAACTTACTCTTGCCCAATGTCAGCTGGGATTGGCTGCAGTTCTCCCACAGCCTTGTGATAAGTGGTATGGATATTGAATGGATGGATGGATATGAATAACATTATGTTCAGAGTCTTGGCTGAAAAGCCCCTGTCATAGAGATATATACTGCTTTAACAAAACTTCTCCTTTCTTTTTTAAACATATATGCTGCAAAATACAGAACATTACCATGATAGTCTCTATGAATAGATTCTGCATTTGAATGTGCAGATACAAGGTACAAGATTTTGGTTTCTGGTTTCCGTTTACTTTGACCAATCAAGTGTAAGCGGGCTTTGGTTGCCCGCAGGTGAACAGTCCATGTGGAGAGCAAAAGAGGCAAAGCACCTGGACCGAAGTACATCAGCAATTCTTTTTTTATTTATTAATTTGCATTCATGTAGATAGCTGTTAAATAGCAAACAAAAGTTTTGCAACCAGAGACTAGTTTATCACCAGACGATAGCTGAGGGGATCTGACATTTTTACCATCTTAACTTGAAGTATTCCTAAATTTATTGCTTTGGTCAATCTGTTAACAAAATAAAGGCAAACCACAGAATAGTTGATTTCAGCAGGAACATGCAGAGCTACAGATGGGTGACAGGTAAAACCAGGATAAATGAGTGGAGACACACAATAAATGCAGATGGTTCCACACAGTTCCACTGCATGGAACAATTTAGCAAGTAACAATCCTGAAAAAGCCCAGTTGATTCTGATTATGGTTTAATGTCAAGAGTGTGAAGGGCAGGAGCTTCAGTCACAGAGATGGTCACCTGGCTGCAGTGACTAAAGTGACATCTGCATCAGCTCGATGGGAAAGAGGTCAGGATGGGTTGTACATGTTTGATGATTGTGATGTTCGTGCATTTCTGCGAGATTTATAGAAAAAAACAAAAACAACTCTTTCCCAGATGATTGAGAAAGTCAATGCAGGATGTGTTCACACTTTCCATAAGAACAGTCCGTCAACACTAACATACAGAGGGATATTATAACAATCTGCAGTAAATAAAACCCGTCATTGCAAAGATGAATACACAAATGAGAGTTCAGTAGAGTGAAAACCCCAGACCCTGCATGATCTACAGAGATGTGGAAAAAAGAGAACAATACAGGCCAGGCTTTTTACTGCCATTGTTTGGGTCCACTTGTCTTCTTAGTGGGAGGCGTCACTGCAATTAAAATAAAAAGTTGCTGTTTTTTAATCATTTTTATCCTATGATGAAACATTTCTATCTTGATGGGAATGGTGGTATCTCCCAGGAAAACAATGCCCCTCATCCGCAGGGTGCCTGAGTTCACTGGCGGTTTGAAAATGAAGTGACTCGGATGCTGAGACCTTCACAGTCCCCACATCTCAACCCAGTGGATACCTATGGGAGATTTTGAACTGATGTTGCTAGAGAGTGTTCTCCTGCACTATCATCAAACAACACATTAATATTATATATATAATATTGGATGTGGTATGTTGAGATGAACATTTAGATTGTATATTGAATATGCTGCTGTATTTGGTGTATTCTGATTGCACTTTTAGATTGTATATCTTATACGAGGCACTATCGTTTTGCACATTTTATATTGTTAGTAGGCCTATAGCTTAAGATATTATGTGTATGGGTGTATGTGACTGTGTGTGCATGCATGGTGTGTTTTAACTGAGACGTGTATGATCACATGAATTTCCCCTTGTGGGATAATAAAGTTTACCTTGACCTTGCAGAGGATTTGATGCTGTTTTGAACGGACCTGTGAAGAAAACCTCCTGCTGCGTTGTGCATGTGATTTTAGCTGTAGGGCATGTCTGAAAACGGCTTTAGACACAAATCTTGGTAAAGACCATGGAAAAAACCCTAAAACTCATCTTCATTTAATTTGTTCCCAAACTGTACTTTTGGCGCAGTGAAGGACACCACAGCATTGCTGAGCTGTCTGCAGTAAAATGCATCCTTGCACAACACATTCTTTGTGAAAATACAAACTCAAAGAGTGACAGCTGATCCAGCTATGAACCAACTGTGCCATTGTCATCCGAGGCTGACATGACAACAGAATGCACTTAAGTGGAAAGATGAGATGCTCTCTTAATTCCTCTCTCCTCACATGAGCCTGGACTCAAACTCACAAGAGGGCAGCATCATTAATAAGCAGGACCAGCATGTATCATGTAAGGCATGATGTTTCAACAACAACAGTTGACTTCTTTCACATCTAGCAGGTGGAGTGGTGGAGTTGTCCGACTGATTGAGTCCAACATTCGCTCTCTTTTGTTCTTCATCCTGAGGGAAATATCTGACACTTTAAAGGTCCAGTGTGTAAGATTTAGGTGAAAGGGATCTATTGGCAGAAATTTTAATGTAGAATAATCCTCATGATGTTTTCACTAGTTCATTTCATCTAAATTGTATGAATTGTAGTTTTCTTTACCCCAGAAAAGGCCCTTTATATTTAAATACTTTATATTTAAATACTTTATATTAACATGGAGGGGACCCTCTCTACGGAGGCTGCCATGTTTTTTACATTAGTCCAGACTGAACAAACTAAACACCTTTTGAGTTTTTATGACAACTGAAGCTACCACAGGTTCTTTTTCATGTTTGGAAGGAGAGGGTGGCGTGAGGGGTGTTCAGCTGCAACATGCAACTTCAACACTAGATATCACTAAATTCTACACACTGTACCTTTAACACCTAAAGCCTTCACAATGCTCACCAGCTGGCAAAGTTGGGTGATAAATGGTAAATGGTCTGTTTTTATATAGTGCTATTCTCATTTTCATAACCAGTCAGAAAACTGAACACAGTATAATGATTTGCAGTTCACACACACCTTCATACAGTGCGTCTAGGGACACCGCTGTCAGGGGCAATTTGGGGTTCGGTGTCTTGCCTAAGGACACTTCAGCACACAGAGCAGGGGAGACTGGGTTCGACCCCCAACATTGTGGGTAGTGGGTGACCCGCTCTACCTCCTGAGTGTTTTCAGTTTTTGTTTGTTCAGACATTTAACCTTTATAGAAATCAATTCAGAAACTGGGTTAGATCAACGAGAAAGGTAATCAAATATAATATATAATAAATACAAATATGTAAAAGAAATAATTCAATATTGACTCGTGTCTCAGTTTTTCTAAAACTACAGCTAATGTAAATACCGAGCCACATCTCTCATCACGTCAATGTCTCTGTTACTCTCAACAATACACTTAACCGTGTCAATAGCACTTTTTTTCTGAACCATTTTCTAAAATATAAAGCATATAAATGGTGACAATAAGGTCACCACTGAGCCCCTGCGTTAGAGTATAGGAGAACAGAAAGCCTGTCTAATCCTGTACTGTGCCACTGTTGAAACACTGTAGTTTAATCCCCAGCGGTGTGTGGAAGCCGCTTCACATGTTCAACACCTTAAACGTGCCTGCTGACTGGGTGAGCGTCCATAACCACAAACTCAGAGTTCCCTCATCAGGTCCATTTACTGGATGCTCTGGAGCCTTGTGTCACATCACGTGATATTCATCAGCAAATTCAATTTCACTGAATCGAAGCTGCTTGAGTTTCCGTTTTTTCCCCTCTGTATTATGAAGCTTTTAAGCCAATGGCAGGAATGTACCTGCTGATAAAACTGTGCGACGTCATCAAAAGACCAGATTGTGATTTTAAATAGCTAGAATCGTTTTTTTTTTAGATATTTTTCTTATGTTGTTATTGTTATATAGGCTATGACACACATATAAGCAGTTTGTTGTGCAAACTGATATCATAGCATATATCTACATAAACATCTGACACATTTAATTGATTCATTTGTCCACTGAGGGCAAATGTTTATTATGAATGGATTATTATGGCTACTGTGAAGTGTTGGGTGTATGTGAACAGTGTATGAGCCTGACGTCCTCCATTACTGTTAGTCTGTCTCTTTGTGTGTGTGTGTGTGTGTGTGTCCAGCAGACAGACAGGGTGGTGATAGGTTGTGTGTGTAGGGTGTCCAGAGTTATAAACACATAGATCAGCATCGCACATCAGCAAAAGGACATCAACACATGGCAATGTGTGAACACAGCCAAAAGGAAATGGCGTATATCCGCCATTGCTCCTACTGCTTCTTCTTCCACCGAGCCCCCTCGCACACACACACACACACGCAGGCACACACACACACACACATGGACACAAGCAACTAATGACGTCGGACTCATGCTGCGTAAACCCCGACAGCTTGTCGTGGACGTGTCGCGAAGCACCACACGACCCCACCGCAGTGAAAGTTGCGTTCATTGCGCTTTCCGCGCAGAAATGTCCGTCAACGCACTAGTTTGGGATTTGACAAGCAACACATATTCATCCGCTTCTACATGAGTGTCAAGAGCACGGCAGTACCCGGATGGAGTGTCATGGCCGCCGTCGCTGTGGTTCCACAGAGAGGAGAGAAGGAAGGCGAATGTTTCTGATGTGTGCGGGGTTTTTTTTTTTTTACTTCAACCCCAGCCTTGTTTCCGTGATGTCGGACGTTGACGGGACGCCGCCTCAACTTGCACCGAGTTCATAGTAAGGAACAAGAGAATTTCCGTAACTTTGAATGTCTCGGCGTGGGTGGGGGCTTGATTTGTGGTGTAAAATAACTGCTCATTAAAGTCCCCGGACTGTGACACTGCGCCGGAGTGGCCGACGCGTCCCCCACGCACCGAGCTCGAACTCTGCCACAGTGTCCGCGGGTCCACCGAGGGTTCTGTTCGGCCGCTTTGTCGCTGCGAGTGCACAGCAACTGTAATTCTCCCACTGATGCAGCCTTCCCCTCGCCTCCACCAAACTTAACTGTGGAGCGAGTCACTCTGCGAGAAGAAGAAGAAGAAGAAGAAAAAAAGAAAAAGTGGAGCTACGGGAAAGGAAGATGGTGAATTGTTTACAGGTAGAGATCCACGTTGCTGCAGCTGCAGCAGCGCTGTGCTCGTCCCTCTTGTCAGAGGCTGAGCGGTGTGTGGCTGCAGTTTGGAGACGATGCAACTTTTCCTGCCTCACCTCCAAGCCTCGGTTCCACGCGCCCCCCGTGTTAGATTGCGGTGGGCCTGGAGCGAGCTACCTGTTTACAGCCCAGGTGATCCCCTTGAGCCCCGCGCACTGTGATCACACCCAGAGTTTGCTGTGTCCACTTTGATCAGAAGTCAGTTCTTAGGAGCAATAACAGCTCATCCTCCGTGTTGCTGAATTAGATCTGTGTTCCCACCAGTCCCACCCTGTCTTCAGGTATGTTATGGACACCACGTTATGTAAGTGAGCAGCAGTGGGATGTTTTTTTTGGGGACTGAAGTAGTTGATGCAGAGAAGTCAAACAATGATGGCAGCCATTTTTCCCCTCTAACATGGCTTCCTTCAGATCCACAGGAGCTGACAGCTGACTGAGACCTGTGGAGTTGTGGGACGACGCAGGTCCGCTGAGCTCACATTAATATTTTAAAAGTATGGAGTGGAGTAGAGGCGGTGACGCCGGCAGTCAACCTTCAGCCTGTTCAAGGAGTGGACCCTGTTGCATGTTATGTAATTAGGCCTGTTTGCCTCAAAATGGCTCACAGGAAATGCCATCCTTCACTCACAAGTGTTTCTCCATGTGATAGTCAGATACGGCAACCCTCCATCACTCTCACCGTTAAATGGAATTTATGCCAACTCATTGATGAAGGTGTAAACTTTTGTTGCTGGGTTGTACAACAACACGACTGCTCCACAGATGGTGTGTTTTAATTGCCGGTTAACTGCAGTCTGCTGCACAAATATCTTTTTTTGTGCCTAAACGTTTTGAAAAACTAAAGCGAAACATTCTTAAGTAGCTCCAGAGGGAGCGGTGTGATAAAGTGTTAAAATAAATGACGAAAAAATAGCGGTGAGGTCACACGACGGCAGTGTGAATCTGTGTACAGTGCATAGAAAACTGTCAAATTCAGAGCTGACAAGTTTCCACAGTTTGTTGGGATAACTTTACAAGTCGGAATTTTGACCACATCTTTGCACCAGAATTTGATTGGACAATGAAAATTCAATCACAGAGTCCATTCAGAGGGCGGGTCATAGATTGTGTATGAAGAGTATTTTGAGAAATAGAAATAGATCAGCCTCGGAGATCAACAAAGGAAAATTAATTTAAAAAATGGCGCATATGCTTCATTGCTCCTATTCCTCCTTCTTTTGGGCGCACGCACACACACACGCCTTGGCAGTGAAAACATCTGTATACTTACAACCTTATTTGGTCTTAATGAAAAGATCTATGTGGATTTTTGCAGATAGAGCTGATAAGTGAAGTGGTGTGAATAGACAAAACTAGAGCTGTCCACTTGAGATCAGATCTTTCAGGATGGATGTTATATTCTCTGCTGCTGGATGCTGAAAACACTTCTTGGATGACTGTACCATATAAAAGGTGGAACATTTGTTTGTAAAAGCTATAGTACTTGAAACCAGCTGGTGTGTTGAGCAGCAGCTGTAGGAAATGTTGGGTTGGTACTTGCTTTGTTAAGGACCGTCTCATCCACTGCATGGGAGACAGTCCTGTGTTGTTCCTGTAGAGAAGCTCAGGGAAGTGGTTGCACTGCTCTTTAAAGGTCCATTGTGTAAGATTTAGGTGAAAGGGATCTGTTGGCAGAACTGTAATGTAGAATAATCCTCATGATGTTTTCACTTGTTTGTTTCATCTAAATTGTATGAATTGTAGTTTTCTTCACCCCAGAAAAGGTCCTTTATATTTAAATAGTTTCTATTTACATCGAGGGGACCCTCTCTATGGAGGCCCCCATGTTTTTTACAGTAGTCCAGACTGGACAAACTAAACACCTTTTCGGTTTTTATGACAACTGAAGCTACCACAGGTTCTTTTTCATGTTTGGAAGGAGAGGGTGAGGTGAGGGGTGTTCAGCTGCAACATTTCAACACTAGATATCACAAAATTCTACACACTGTACCTTTAACAAAGGCCAGGAAGTTTATCAAATGTGAATTTATCAAGGAACCAGTTAGCCGAGTCCAACCATACAAAACTAACCAAGCTTGACTGGAACCTGACAGGCATTCAGTTTTTTCTGTCTGAACCCAACCTGCTAAATGTGTGTTACTCTGCCCCTCACACGCATGGTTATTGTTTGATTTCCCCTATTACCGACATGTGGAGGGTTGGAGTTGAATTCAAGCCTCTCTAATTACATCTTTGAAGTGTTCACACATAGCGATTAATGCCTATTGAATGCTGATTAGGGGCTTTTGTTTGCGACTTACAAAATGTGTCTGCGACCAGCAAATTGTGCTTAGAGTGATGTGCTATTAACTAGGCTTTAGTCTTCATTACTCAAATTGACAAAATGCTAAAAAAACATTGTTCTTCTTATGGCCGTAGACTGCTGTGTGATGCAATCAGTCATACGCATACATTGAGGGTAAAGAAACAAAAGAAGTGGAGCTAATGAAATCATTTCATCAACATGAAAAGTTGTATTTGTGTCTAAAACTGCATCAATCACAAAAGTAATGGTTGGAAAAATGTTCATCCTCTCAAGAAGTAAACCTGCCTGTTAGCTCAAACCCATTGGTAACAGCTCTGGAGCTGTTGCACACTGTAACCTCAGGAACAAACAGCAGGTCAGACAGCCTCACTGTTACTGTGCCTTTGAGGCTGATTAATAATATTGTATGTTGCACATGTCTTAAGCGTTTCAGGTTATGAATGCTTATACAATGTTAAGAATAATGGGCCTCATTCACCAACCATTATTAAGAGGACATTTTTTTCTTTAAACCCACTAATGCAGTTTTTGTGAAGATTCTGACATTCGCCTGTGTTTTTCTGAAAAAAAGAACATTTTCAGTGCACATTAGAATTTTTTTAAATGCATGGAAATGCACACAAGAGATCACACACACAGAATATTTGGTCTAAACTGAAGAGGTTTTTAATCACAAAAATAGTCACCAACAGCTGAGGGTTCACCTGCAGTGCTGTGTTTCCAATGATGTGCAGCTCCACCTCATGACTGTGCACCTTCCTTTTCTTTTCCCTTCCTTCTCTCTCTTCTGTGTTTGACAATATATATTTTTTTTTACAGTGTGACTTTCTCCCAATTCAGCTTTCACTGAACGTGTAGCTGAATTATATGTATCGTTTGTGGTATTTTATGTCCACTGCTGACACTACAAAATATAACTTTATTTTTGTACTGGTTGAGTCTGGTACTGCCCTGTCTTAACATCTTTGTTCAATCATTCCTGGCTTCTTTAATAGTCTTTTCAGTTTCTGTGATTTCTCTGTGTGCACGCTGCACTGCAGTCTCATGCCCTTTTATGGGCTTTGGCGTGGCGTTTACCTATGCTAGCAGTGAAAAACTGGCACATGCTCTCAACCTAGCAGACATGGCATTCATCAATATAAGAACACAGATGCAAACAATTCTGCAAAATTTCTGAAGAACAAATTTAAGAAAATTCGAAAGAAGATGTTGGTGAATGAGGCTCTATAACCACAGTCATAAAGCAGTTCTCTTACATGACGATGTTAATTCTTCAATGCTAACGTTTGTCTGTTCAAACTGATGTCAGTAGATATTTTGGAACACCCAGGTCATGTCTTTCTGTCTGTGGAGCTAACTTTGTGAATGTAGTCTCACCAATTCTACTAGCTGCTGTCTTTCCCTGCAAAATGTATCATGCTAGTTGACACAGGCGTCTATTAAATAATTGCGTAAGGTTTGAAAAATGTTATATAATGCAAGAATAGGTCACATACAAATTAACTTCCACACAGTAACTTCATAGGTTTCCAGCAGTCTGCTTTATTTCTAAATAGTGAAAATGATGTGGCATGCTGCCCAGCAGAGTTCTCTGGATTCTGTTGAAGGGTTCTCGTGTTCGTAATGTTGAACAATAACATTACATTTTAAGAGAATCATTTTCTTCGACGAGATGTTCTCCACAAATTCCTGTTTCCATGCTTGAATCACTAGCAGTCAGTAATAATTGAACGGAAAGTTTAATTGTCTGGCTTTGTAACTGAAAGTAGTAATTTTTTCTCCCTCTGTTTTACAGGCACAGTGGCCACACTACAAGCTCCTGCTCTTCAAAGTAGACATGTATTGATGTTTCCTGAAGGAGTAAAGGTAACTATCTTCTTGTTAAATGTATTTTTTCCATTTATTCTTAGCTCAGCAATGAAGCTATAACTACCGATAGGAGTGCAGATCATGTTTAATGTGTTGTAACCTCACTGTTTGGGTTGTATTTGACTTATTTTACTGGCCTAGAGGATAATTCGCTCTTTTGCCCTCTCAATCTTTACAATTATTAATCACTGCGGTTGTACATCTAGTTTTATTGTAGTCTTTTTCCTTTTGAAAATGTAGTTTCTCCTTTTGTCAGAAAAAACATATTTTCACCAAGGTGAAAGTTTGTTGGTTTCAGTCCTGGGCTTTTTTCACCTACATGAGTGAAGTGATTGGAATTTTTATTCGTGGTACTTGCATTATGGGAAAAAACATTTTTCATTGAGATTTTTTTGAAAGTAAAGTTGTCCCTGTGTTGATGGTATGTTCAGTTAATTAATCCGATGAACAGGAGCAGTGTTTCTGAAAAGACTTAAATGATCCTAAGACATTTTTCATTGTTGTAACTTGGGCTGGGCAGCTTTTATATTTGTATGGAAGGTAGTTGTGTGTGGGAGTGTGTGGGTACACTGTTTATCATGGTATTTAGAATTTGACAACAACACCAAACATTTTAATCAACTCCTTTGTTGTGTGAATCACTTTGTTTGCCTTCCCTTTTTCCACAGTCTGTTCAAGGCAGGATTTTTGGGTTGTTATTCAACCTTGCTGGTCCGTATATAGGGTGCAAACATGTAATGCTGGGCACCTTCCACAGAAGTCTATGATTGGACTGACACTGTTGTTTAAGGACCACATGAAACAACTGCGTACAAGCCACACTGTTAGTACACATAAGCCATGCACCCTACTCCTGCCTGACGTGCTCCTTCCTAGAAATTAAAATATGTTATTGCAGCAGCTCTGATTAGCATGTCTTGTATTGAGTTTTTAAACTGATATGACTGAATTACAATTTAAGTTGTCTCTTGCAACCCTTCTGTCATCAGATTAAAAGAAGGTGTCTCACTTATGAAGTTCACTCAGACTTGTAAAGTGTTAAGAGACTCAATAGACCCCCCCCACAAGCGGTCTTTGTCAGCCACAGAGAGCACTACAACCAACAAACAACTTAAATGTTTCCGTGTCATCCACTTACCCCTGGGTTTGACATTAACTAATGAAAGCTGGTGTGACCTTATGCTGGTGAGTTAATCATTTGAACCTGTAAACAAGTCAGATAGTTACGTGCCCTATAAAGTGGCCCGTTTGTACATGTTCATCACATGGTCGTGAGCAGGGGTCTAATCAAAGAGTACAGGGCAGCAGCTAAGCTACTGGCTCAATCAGGTCAGAGATGAAGGTGACAGACACCAATAAGCTGCCTAGGTGACGACATGGGAACCTTGAACCCCACTCTTTCAGTATGAGACAGAAAATGCTCAAACAAGGTAAATGCAGAAGTCGTCTGAATTTTTCTTTCCATTTATATCTGAACACAGCGAATGTACATACATGGTTAGTATTCTGTGTATTCTGACTGCAGGAATTTGATTCCTCTAACCATTCTAATGGAGCATGGCAGTAAACACGCTGAGCAAAATGTGTCATTGAAGACACTTGTAATCACGGTGATTCTGTTTTGACTGCATGTCCCACAGCCAGTCCTTATCTTTATTTAGACTTTCTTTGAGTAGCGAAGCCAACATCATTTCCTCTACGCCTGAGGGCCATTAGAGGAAGTTCAGTGGGATTATTTGACCTTTTTTCATAATGAATATATTCCTGATGACATTAACAGCACCTGAACAACGATTAAGAACACAATAAGAAAATCTGAATTTAGTCAAACGTTGAATGTGACTTCAGCTCTGACTGGTGCACCCATGTAGTGACCCTTCTGTATTAACTATATAGTTACTTGTTTGTTTTGGCCACACATAATTAATACTGTACTCCATTGCTCTCTTTTGTTATAATAATAATTATAGCAATATAAATAAGAGTATTTTAGAAACAATTTGGAACATGACAGCATAGATACAGTACTGTGTTTTACCTTACATTAATATATGTAAAAGCATGATACTGTTATAAATAATACAGATTTAACTTTATATTAAATATAGGATAAAATGTGGCTATAAGGAAAATATGCTGCATTAGAACAGGTGAATTCTAAGTAAGGATAACTTCATATGAAGGGAATATGTATTTTATTTCTCTTAAATTATATAAATACAAATACAGAATAATGAGAAAACAAGTAATATCAGATTTATGAAAAACTATCAAATTAAACATAATGGGTTCAGTGATTTAAACATAAAGTAATAAGATGTAATAATAGTAATATCTAATAATGGAGGGAAAAAAACTTTGATTTCAGTTGGGTTGATGGGACAGCAAAACATTTTTTCATCTAGTGATCATTAGAGCCTGGTGGGGCTATAAGTGTTTAAAAGCTCTTTAATATACTCTGGGGCTTGGCCACGGATGACTTGTACGAAAAGAATAAAAATTTGAATAATATTCTAAATCTAATCGGCGGCCAGTGCAGTAATGCTAAAACTGGTGTTATTTGACAAGATTTTGTGAATAATCTGGCTGCTGAGTTCTACATAAATTTCAACCGTGAGACTGAGTGAGGATTTAAGCAGCTAACATGCTTAGCAGTGTGTGCTAGTAAGATCTCTTGATCTTCACCTGCAAAAGTTGCTGTGGAAACACTGCTCTCCAAATCAGTCTAAAAAAAATGTTGATTTATCCATTTGTGGTAGATTACTCTGGGTTATTTTTAAACATCTCTGACTCATTGCTGCACCGCTCTTTGGCATTTTCTGGGAAATACTTAAACAAGACGAGCTCAAATCCCTGAATACTTTGTTTGGACAGTGCATGTTCTAAAGTAAGTATTTGAAACCATAGTTAAACTGTTGTGAAGCTGCTGAAGAGACACTTTTAATGGAGTGTAGCTTCATATACACAAATTAGCATATTGATGATGCAGTCATATTTGGAATCTGCCAAGTGTTAACCGGATTCACTCTTTTATCTGTTGTCTTCTCTCCTTCTCTCTCTACTGGCATATAAAATATTTCAAAACCTCCATTAGTAGTGATCAAAACTTTTAACTTCAATTTCAGTAGTCAATCATAATCAGTGTGACACCAATTGCTCTTTACTAATTTGGATCACCTTTGGTTGCATACTTCTCAACCAAAGGTTGTCGTGCACCATTGCATAGTTTTAATTAAGTGGATATATTATACATTGTGATCTTCTTCAATACTTCTGCAGTAGTTTTAAATGGATTTCAAATGATTCCGAAGTGTGTTTTTATTAAAAACTTTGATTTCTTCTCTTACAGATATCTGCAAATTTACAACTATGGAAGAAGACTTCATAATACCTCATGATTCTGCCAAAAACTGCAGCATATCAGTAATAGTGGAAGAAAAAGACAAGGTAAAAGACTTAGTGTATAAGCATTTCAGAGAAGTGACAGATGTGTCACACCTAAATAATGCGGAAGAACCTTCCATCAAGGAGCATGGAAGTTCCACAAAGAAAGATAAACAAGCACTAAATAAAGGCCATTGCAAAATTCAGCAAGGGGCTGTTTTCTCTGGAAAGATTCTGAGTTTTGGATGCTCTGTGTGTAAAGACGATTCCACATATAGCCCCAATGATCTCCTCAAACATTTTCGAGCGGCTCATGAAGGAACCCTGCCGACATACCCTTGTGATCTGTGTGGCTTTTCCACAAACGAGTTTCCTGCTCTCCAACGCCATCGGATTGAGCACAAAAATACTCTAGTAACATGCGAGCTCTGCAACGATGATGTTCAATACTCTCTGCTTTTGCTTACCAGACACTACATCATGTGTCACAGTCTAAATGGACAGTTTAACTGTGACTGGTGTGAGTTTACTACTGTGGATGCAGGGACATTCGTACAACACATCCATCATCATAATGAGAGTCATTGGAAGTGTTCAAAATGCAGACATATCAGCTTGAACGAAGAAGGTCATCAGAGGCACATGAAAGCTCACTCGGATACATTTCCCTTCACTTGTCAGATCTGTGGATATGGTGCAACACGAAGCGAATACCTGAAAAAACACACTTCAGCAGTTCACAAACAGGAGGCTGAGAAAAGGAAGGCTTGGAAGTCTATAGAAGACAACAGCAATCCAGCAAATGCAACTGCAACTTTAAAACTGTTGCTGAAAAAGAGTTCTGAAGTGCAGGAGGTTCAGAGAATATCAAAGCTAAACTGTCTTTCTGGGAGTTTTACAAACCAAAACGGAAGGTTAATCAAACCTGAGCTGTCATTAGAGGATGCGCACCACTTTGTGGAAGGGACTATTGCAAAAAAGGACACTAAAAACTGGAGCAGAGGTTCTCATAACACAGAACAGTCAACACCGGAAATGTTACCAGAATGTGACAACTCTGCCTGCTCTGATGCTGCAATTCACACAAATCCTAATGCGCTAACTGTTCTGATGGTCAAGAACAAAATCTCTCTTCCTCCCAATTGTACAACCAAAGTGATGGGATTCAAAATGGTTGATGGCAAAAAACATTTGGTCCTTAAAGTGATCCCAACAGCCAAACAAGACTCAACCATTCAGAACAATTCCTCAATAGAGGATGTTGGATTCTTGGCACAAAATTCTGTGTTGGATGAAAGTAAAGACTCTGTTGAGAATGGGGATAGCTTTCATAGCAAGAGCTCGTCGTCACATTGTTCTTCACCAAGAATTGAATCTTGCATACAGGTGGATCAAGATGATATTATGGCAGTAAAAGTAAAGATTGAGGAGGAAGAAACCTCTGTTTGCCAGTTTGATTCCACCCCACACAGAGATTATGTTGAGGGAGAAGCTACTTTACAAAAAATGTCTTCGGCTTGTGCCGATATCTTCTACTCCATGACAAATGATCATATGGGGGACCAAAATCACCCAAGTCAAACATGCTTAGAGAGAAATGCATTTGATAGTAACTCAATCTCTGTAACAGTTAATTCTGATGCAACTGGCCGTAGCAGTTCTAAAATAAGTAATACTTTAACAGCATGTAATATCACTGGTTTATCTTCTCCTTCAAAAGTTGCACAGGACAAACAGCGTTTCAAATCTGTCTCCAAAAAAACTACTAGAAACCTTGGAGCTGCAAGTGAGTTATCACTGACTGACAGAGTGACAGATAAACCTACTGAGGAACACAAAGTGAACTCTTCTTTTCACACTATAGAAAATGATGAACAATCTTGTCTAAGTACTCCAGACAAGACTAATAGTGTTGGTCCTGAGAATAAACATAAAAATCGACAGCAAAACTTTAAAAAGCTGTCATCAAATCCAGTCCCTGCATCAGAGTCATCCCCACAAACTCCAGGTAGTAGAGAAAGTGCTCTGGGCACCGAAAACAATCAAAATTCACCAAACCAAGAAGTATTTACCTTTCATAATTATTCAAAGGAAACATTCTGTACTTCACCAAACACTTCCCAAAGCTTTGACAATATGTCTGAATACCCATCTGACAAGGAAAGTATGTGCGAATCATCCCAGTTCAGCCTGACATTGGCAGAGTCTCCAGAACCATTCACTGAAAAGGGCAAAGGGGTAACAACTCGGGAGAGAATGAAGAATGTGTCAGGTACTGATTTTGAGGTTGATAAGTGCATAACTGGTTTTGATGATTCTACCACTGAAGATGAAAATCCTGAGTCAGTGTTCCAAGACTTTAATATAATCAAAATTGAAGAGGACAGCATTCCAATATCAAAAACACAGTCAGAGTCAAAGAGTAATATAACTTCCTTTGCCAGTTTTGTAGAAGAACATTCAGATGAAATCATTACCCAACAGCTTCACAAGGAAAGAGTAACATGTTCAAATGCCAGCAATGATTCTTTAAAACAAACAAAAACAACTCTGCGAATTCTTCAATTGGCCGAGGGTAAGAAGCCAGTACTCCTGAAAACTACTGATAATCAATATGCCATGCCGGTGCAAGCTAAGGCAACTCCAGGCTTCAAACTGATAACCAATTCTACAAATCCTCAGATTAATGTCTCTTACTTGAAGCAAGGAGCAGAAAAATCAAGTAACCAAACTGGTGTAACTTTAACCCCAAACAGCTGGACAGTAGGTGTATCAACGCCAAAGGCAGGGGCAACTGAAAAGGGGAAGGCTCTTCTCTCTGCTGTTCAACCAGGTGTTGGTACCTCCTCAAATCACTACCTTATCAACAGCCCAGGTTTTAAAGGTCCTGTACTCCTTTCAAGCACACCACATAATACACCCATGGACAAATCGGCAAAGCCTACTTGCTACTTGGTACAAAGGTCTCTTCCATTTGTCCATACCCCTGGTAGTCCTGGCCTCAGACTGGCTAGTTCACAAGACCCACTGAACTCACGGCCAGTTCTGGCCATGCCAATGAGCTCCTCAGACAAACCCAGCCCGCTGCAGCCTGGTCGACAAGCCTTCTTGCTCCGGTACATTTCTCCTTCCAAATCAGGCCTACTTCTGAACAATCAAGATGCAAAGACTGGGAGTCACTGTAGCCAAATCAGTGAGAACACAGGAAACAAACTCATATTCAAAATTGTCACCCCTACTGGTAGCCTCCTTACAAGTGGTGCTCCGACCTCAAGCAGTCAACCTTTGTTTTTGGCCACCAGACCTCAGACCCAGTGTTTTCTGGTGTCATCAAACAAAACTAAGGCAAATGCCTCCAATGGAGTCAAGAAATTGATCACCATCCAAAATACTGCACAGAAAGGTGTCAGGGGATCTTGTATTTCACCCACTGAACTGAATGTAAAGGTGCAACCGTGTGAAGCAGAGAAGCCTATTCTAGCCCCAAGGCCAATTCGTCCTCCAAGCCAAAGGAAAAGGCGCATTAAACCATTGTTTGACGAACTTCCAGCAAGTGTGCATAAAGCAAGAAGACTCTCAAATAGAGTACAGACTGAGAAAGAGACTGCTGTCTTATGGAAGCCTGTAGCCAAAGAAGTTGAAAGGACACTGAGACTTGCCCCATTCAGTTCTCTACAGCAGATCAAATGTCCTCGAAGGTACCAACCTGTCGTGGTGCTCAATCATCCTGATGCTGACATTCCCGAAGTGGCCAATATCATGAAGGTAGTTAACAGGTACAAAGGTGCTGTTACTAAGGTCTCTCTGTGTCAGAAAACAACGCAAGCACTCTCTGAGCTTTGTGCTCAAGGGAAGAACTACTCAACCAAAGGTGTGTCATCTCATGGCAATGATCCAAGACCTCGGCCAGTTCAAAGTTCTGTCCGAGAACGTTTCCTTCTGAAACTTAAGTTAAGGAAAAAAAGCAAAAAAAAATATGAGGTAGTGGAAAATTTATCAGGTTGTCGACAGGAGTCTGTGGTGTTTGACTGCTGGTTTTGTGGTCGACTCTTCAACAGCCAAGAAGACTGGATTGGCCACGGCCAGCGGCACCTCATGGAGGCAACTAGAGACTGGAATAAACTGTTTTAAAGTTTTCCATTTCCTTCAAATGGCTACATATTCTGTCCATTTGAGGTGGAACAAATTATATATGTTGTATATTTTTTATGACTTTCCATTTTATGTTTGTTCTGAACATGTCAATAAATATTCTTAGGTTAATTATAGTTTATCTTTTCATATGTGCATATTCTGGTAATTTATGTACTGGTAGCATGATTTATATCATGCATGCACAGGTCACATTGAACTGTGAAAATGGTACACTGTAATCAGGAGTTGTAGGAGCACTGGCTTACAAAAGGGGATAATATCAGTAAAGGTTATATTAGTTGGATTAAATGACTCAGGTGATTTCATATTGATTTGATTTGTCATTTTTGCGGATAAATATCAAACAAGCATAGGCCTAGTTTAAGGGACTTTTGTATATGTTATTATCCTGCACACGAAGACAGGAAACTTTATTGTACAGCTTAACTGACAAGTTCAATTGTTTTGCGCTTTTGATGTAAAAAAATGTTCTGTCCAAATAATTCCTTTTATGTAAATTTTAATTAACAGGATACCATTTTACACTATTATCAGGTGTAGTTTAGTTTTCTAATGAGGATTTTGTCAACCTGTAGCATGCGTTTGTCATAGGCAGAGCTGAGATTTTTCATAGCAATGTTTTTAGTCTGCCAAATGTGGCAAGCAGCAAAATACTGAATCTTTTACACAGGGATGCTTCATTATTCACTGCAAGTACTTGACAAATGAAGATCGGCCCATAATACACCCTATGCAATTTCATTCAACTTGAGTTTTGTTGCCAGCAGCTCAGGCTATTAGCTTGTGCTCATGTTGTGAGACATGCAATCACATTTAAATGTCAATCTAATGATTAAAATCTTAATTGTCCCGTGAATTTGCTTAAAAATTTAAAAAATATTTTGTGGGTTGTGATGTTTCTTCACAGTAGATGCAGTTACAGGATGTAAAATTTCAAAATACATGAACATCTGTATCTAAAACTACAAAAATGTCAGTGTGAAGTGTTTTCATGGGACCTGAAAGTAATATCTGTTAACAAAACTTTGGATAGCACAGTTGACAACATAGTTGCATTATTGAAATCATTGCTTATTGGAGAGGTAAACATTTTCTGTAAGTACCCCATATTTTAAGTGATCAGTGGTAACAAATGTACATTCTTAAATCAAACAAGTTATTAAAGGAAAATTATTCTCCTCCAGGAAGTATCATTTTTCATTGGGAGTATCTTAACAGTGATTACTTAAAAAAAACAACAGGAAAACATCTAAGTGAAAACAATTTCTTAAAATCAAAGAAAGGAAATGGTACAAGGAGCAGTGTTGAAATTACATCAGACAAACAGCAAGGCTTCTTAATTAATATAATGAAAAGTAATATGCTTTTAAAATGGGGAGAATATAAACTGTCAATCACACTAATATTGTAACATGGTTTGGTTGCCAACAGGGAGAGTTAAACCAAAACAAATGATCGGTTCAAATCTGCTGAGCTAAAGCATCTGGGCAGCCAAGAATGTCAAGTCCTGTGTAACTCTACCACCCGCTACAAAATAAAGCTGTATGAGCCACTTGGGCCACTACAGAAGCTCTTTGGGAAATGGTAAAAATGCATTTTTGATGCTTTAACCTGTGTTACTGCTGCTAGGGCTAGAGTAAGGATAAACAACACTTTTATGATGAGAGGGGCTGGCTGGATCACCCCAACATCTCATACTATTTTAATGTACATTAAGCACATAATGTGACAGCAGAAAACATGTACCCTGTACACGAATAGATCGTTGTGTGAAATGGACCCAAGACAAAAATGCAGAAAAGTTGTTCTTACTGGTTTTAGTCCAATAAAGTTTCTTGGTAATATTAAACATTTGGAGAGGTGATTTAAAGTTACTGATCTTTGGTTTTCATGCTCTGTAGACATAATAGGAGCAGTAGGATCCTTGAAGGTGATCCACATAGTTCACTAAACCCTTTTATTGCATTAATCTTGTACTGTAAATCTGCCACTGTCATCAAGCTCAGTATGCTGTACATACATTTATTTCAATTGTACACCTCAAACTTTCAACAGCAACGGGACATGGACTTTTTTCTTCCTATGTGTTGACTGTTTTTCATGATTACCCAACTGTGTAAATGAATGTTTTATTCCGTTCAATATGCAAAGTTGACTGAATAATGCAAGCCATGCAAATGTTTTAATATTTGTCATGTTTTTTTTAAAGAGCAGCCTCCACTTGCTGATGTTGTGACCTCAGCAGGACATTTTAAAGTTGATTCAAACAATGCATCAAATAAATTCCTCATTTCCATAGGTTAAGCATCGATGTTAGAGCCCCTTCATTTGTGAGTCGCTAGAGAGACTTTTACTCAGTCCATCTGCTGTTTTCACAAGCTCTCCTTAAGGGGATGTTCTATATTTTACTGAATACACTTGGTTAGTTTAATTTGGTTTTATACCTCTGTACAGGCTCAAGGCTCAGTCACTGCCTCTGGTCGGTGTGTGTCAAGAAATAGTTCCAGTAGATAACTCCCCCAAAATAGCAAATTGCCATCCCTAAATTCTTAATGACAAATAAGCCACATGGAACATGGAGAGCTGTTAGCTTTAAGTGTCTTCAAGTGTATTTTTGGACATTGAAAGGCCAGCCATTTCCCCTGCTAACCATGCCAACCATAAACTAACTCCAACTCTGTACTGTATTGAAATCAATACCCGTCTTCTATTTCTATATGTTGCTCCAATATAGAAACCAGTAAGTGTATTTGTCAGAACATTGACTGTTCTTTAATAAAACCAGGGTAGCTAGCTCCTTAAAACCAACTCTCCTGTGTTCTTTATGAAGCCCCATTCCAAGAACCATGTTTTAATCCCTTTAGATGACAGCCCAGCTCAATCAGAACCTTTGTAAAATCTACCCTTTACAATTCAAGTTAAATATGCCAGCTTGTAAAATGTCTGAAATCCCAAGTGCTTTAGATTTGGTTAGAGGACTTAAGTTATCTCCTATCCCTAAATAGTCACGTGGTGATTTTTTTAAATGTTTGGAATCATACTATCAAGGGCTACATCTAAAAATACTGCTCAAATATACTTGAAATGAAAAGATAAAAAGTAACTAAAGGTTACTCATACTTGCATCTTTGCAATTTTTATGTGATTAAGATTTATATTTTCTAAAATGCAAGTAATTTCAACATTTTAATGCCAATACAGTGTCAAGATTGTGTTTTGATCCATAGAGGTGCTCACAAGGCTGATAAAAATGAGCCTAACATACATACTCGGTGCAGTAATTTGACATGTGCACTGTTACTAAGCCTGCCTAGCTTTTGATTAGTAACTAACCTCCGCCAGACTGCCTGATTCGATCACAGCCCAGTGGATGCAAACATAGTTTGTTTCTGATGGGTTGTTTGTTTTAGACAGATCCACATGGCTCCACTACTACGTTATAAGCACATTTATCTGTTTTGCTTTTTTCTACACTGCTGTCACCGCTCATTGTGTGGGGATATGCTACTAGACAATGGTATTTTGTCAGCTGTATGAGTCTGAAATTCAAAGTTAACAATAAGATGGTTGGGATGATGTTGCTCTACTCTTCAACATACCACATTATAGGTTTCTCCCCTTAAATGCTGAACCCATGATGTACAGTAAACTGTTCCTGTCTAGCTGCCTGTTAAATCTTTTTCAAATCTTTCCTCATGCTATAAGTGCCTCAAATGTCCTTTTGCAGGTTGACAATGTGTACCGTGTTGTTTTGTTTATCTTAGTGGTTCACTCTCCTCAAATAAATGTACATACCTTATGGAAGGAATGTGGTCTTTATTTTTATTTGTACGTATAAGTACTTATAAATGATCACGACTTGTAATATTATAATTCTAACCTTACATGTCTGCCTTCTGAACTTAAGAGACTCTAGGAGTTGTGATAATATAGTTTGTTTATATTCCTGAGGACAGAGGTGAAAATTATGCTGAAAAAGATCCACATGAGGGCAGCACAAGACTGACACATGACGTTCTTTCTTTATTGCATTCAGCTAAATAAACCTGGTGCTGTGTCTTATCTTTAATCTGGTTCTGAAAATCAACAGACAATAGTGTGAATGCTGTTTCAGTATTTCGATTGTTGCTATTTAGTTTTGAAAACTGAGTGTAACAGCCTTATTTAGAGCAATAAGAACCAAACAGTACGATTTAAGAACAGCAATACAGAACTGGGATTTTTAAAAGCACATGCTATTATTGTGTTGAAACTTTAAGAGGTGTCACGCTCTAAAAATGAAGGTGAGAAGAAATCTCTAAAAACAACATACAGTGAGCCGACAGATTGACTGACTTAAATAACAAACTGTCATCGTTTCAGTGAAAGCAAAAACACTTAAAGAGACATTTAATGTCAATTTCAGATTTCTGTTCATGGCTGAGATTTTCTTCCCATTTTATGTATAAACTTTGAGTTGATTTTTTTGTACATAAATACTTACATAACAATCATAGTACACTGCTTTAACTGTAAATATAAAAAATATCACCATCCTTTGTCGTTAACTAATACCAAATGTTTTGTGTGGCCTTAGATGCCAGTCCAAACGACTGAAAAGCTACAATTAAATTCCATAAGATATTTGAAATTTGATTCCCCTAAGATTCAAAATGTATTATTTTTTAACTAGTTGACCATAAACTTCAATCATTTTCTTTCAGTTTTATAGGATATTCAATGATAGGGAATAATCATCTCATCAATAATCGATTTGGATGGTCTCCAGATCTATTATTTGTGGCGATATCTTGGAAAATGTATTTTTATGACTATTTTGTTGAACTTGAGGTTTGATCTGTCACTTCCAAGAGTTCATCACCTGGGGATCCCATACACTGCTCAAACTAATGAAGACTTAATGGTCACAGTATAACAGCAAGGGATATCAATCTGTCCATTTAGAAAGCACAAGTGATTGAGAATCAGTTTCACCTGCTTTGGTGCAAATTAAAGTGGCAACAGGTGCAATGGAGGCAAAAGCAAGACAACCCTCATAAAGGGAATGGTTTTACATGTGGTGGCCACAGACAGCTGCTCTCTCTTTATCCTTTCTTACTAATTCTTTAGTTTTGTGTTCTGCTAGTGTCCTTGTCATTGCTGGTAGCATGAGGTGGTACCTGCAGCCCACTCAGGTTGTACAGGTAGTCCTCCAGGATGGCACATCCATACGTGCACTCATAAGGAGGTTTGCTGTGTCTCTAAGACCAGTCTCAAGAGCATGGAGGAGATACCAGGAGATCGCCCCGTTACACAAGAAGAGCTGGACAGGGCTGTAAGAAGGGCATCAACCCCGCAGCAGAACCGGTCTCTGCTCCTTTGTGTGTGGAGGAACAGCAGGAGCACTGCCAGAGCCCTACAAACATCCAGCAGACTACAGGTGTGCATGCAGACTTCGTGAGTGTGGCATGAGGGCCTGATGATCTCTAGTGGGACCTGTGCTCACAGCCCTGCACCGTGCAGCTCGATAGGCATTTGCCAGAGAACACCAGAATCGGCAGGTCTGCCATTGGCGCCCTGTTCTCTTCACAGATGAGAGCCGGTCACACTGAGCACATGTGACAGGCGTGAAAGAGTCTGGAGACGCTGTGGTGAACGTTATGCTGCCTGTAACATCATCCAGCGTGAACAGTTTGGTGGTGGGTCAGTGATGGTCTGGGGAGGCATATCCTAGAGCAGGGGTCACCAACATGGTGCCCACGGGCACCAGGTAGCCCCCAAGGACCACATGAGTAGCCCGCAGGCCTGTTCTAAAAATAACACAACTCACCAGTGAGCTGCGTCTAAAATTTAATTAATACAAATAAAGTGTTGAAT